AATCATAACCAGGCAAGGTTCACAGTTCAAAGTTTTTCTCATTTCCCCCTCTGAAGGCATGGCCATTTTACTCTGTGGAATAAACAGGTTTGCAACAGATTCACAGGAGAAGAAACATACAAATGTGTTATTATACAGAAACCCAGGAGCCGCACAAAGCATGCGTGACTCTCAAGGAAAGGGTCAGATGGCTGACATTTGCATGCCATCTTGGTTTACCATAAGGAATAGGGATGGAGCTCCTGGAGATAGGGGAGTGGCCACACAGCCTTGGGAGAGTGAGGACAGGAAGGACCAAGATACCCATGGACCTACTTTCAAAGGGCACCTGTAGTAGTCTCTGCTTGGGTCAGGTGACATACCCTTGTCTCTTCTTCCTAGGAAATGACATGGGAATCTCAGAGTCAAAACCTTGGCCTTTGCTTATTTTACTAGTGTTGATAGATGTAAATTTCTTTCACAGAAGGATGGGTTTTCAGAGCTATTTCTTTCTGCTATTTCTCTGAAATAACCACCTTGAAATAAACCAAGGAATGACATCAGAAGCATGAGGACTATTCACAACTTTCCCTTAGCTTCTCCCTCAGCTTTTCAAAGGACAGACGCAGGTGCTTTTGGAAAAAAAAAGATTTTGTTTTATTTTTTGTTGTTGTTGTTGTTGTTGGCAAGGACAATTTTGGCTTGAAAATTGGTTTCAAAAGCAAGAAAAAGTGAAGATGAAGCTGATTGGAGTCAAGTTTCCATTCTAAGAGTAATTCTAAGTCCTTGGTTTCCATAGAGAGTAGACTTTACAACACATTTCTCACAAAGGAACACGTCCCTGAGCAAGTTGTCATCATTTTACTGCCACTTTAGTTTACGGAAAGAAATTCAGAGCGAGTCCATGCCCTCTCCAAGGTTATAGAGCTCTGAGGATGGCAAGGCTGGGATTTGAACCCAGTCCTGCTTCCGGCCTGAGGCCCTTCCCCTAAACCCCAGCAATCTTTGGAGCAGTACACATGTAACCAAAACTGGTTTTTAGTGCTATGAAGACATAAACTAGATTCTTAAGCCAAAATTTAGAAACTCGATTTTTCACCTCATGAAATTGAAGCCCAGATATGGGCATTGGATGCTACTTTTGGAGGGAGGACTATAAACAAATGACCAGGGCCTTTGCATTGGAGTGTCTACTTTGGCCATCCTGAACATGGATTAAAAACAGGTATAAGGGGCTGGGAAGGTGGCTCAGTGGTAGAGCGCTTGCCTTGCATGCATGAGGCCCTGAGTTTGATTCCTCAACACCACATAAGCAGAAAAAATAAGCTGGAAGTGGCACTGTGGCTCAAATGGTACAGCGCTAGCCTTGAGGTGAAGAGCTGAGGGACAGCGCCCAGGCCCAGAGTTCAGGCCCCGTGACCGGACCCCCCCCCCAAAAAAAAAACAACAACAACAAAACAAAATGAGTATAAGTTTCTCTATGGTGGAAGAGAATTCAGCAAGTACAGAAATGCAGAAAATCTACTTCCTTCTCTCTCTTTCCTCCAATTTCTGCATTGTCTGCTCTAGCCAAATATTCCCCTTGGACAGTGTGTGTGTGTGTGTGTGTGTGTGTGTGTGTGTAGCTTGAACTCAGCCTGAGTGCTGTCCCTGAGCTTTGTGCTCAATGCTAGTGCTCTACCACTTGAACCACAGCTCCATGTCCAGCTTTTTGATGATTAACTAGAGATAAGAATCCCATAGACTTTCGTCCCCAGGCTGACTTTGAACCTCAATCCTCAGATCTCAGCCTCCTGAGTAGCTAGGGTTACAGGTGTGAGCCATCAATACCCAGCACCTTGGACATGTGTGTGTGTGTGTGTGTGTGTGTGTGTGTGTGTGTGTGCCAATACTAGGGTGTGAATTCAGAGCTTAAGTACTTTCCTTTAATTTTGTCACTCAAAGCCAGTACTCTACCACTTGAGCCACAGTTCCATTCTGGTTTTTCGGTGGTTCATTTGAGATACAAATACTTTGCCAACTGGCCTGGCATTGTACCATGAGCTTCAGCTCTTAGCCTCTTGAGTAGCTGGGCTTACAGATATAAGCTACTGGTATCCAGCCCTGAGGACATTTTAAGGTTGTTAAAACAGCAAGGATAAGAAGCACTTTCACCTCCACAAATGAATTTGTCTCTTCTGCACATGATCTTCAAAGTCTTGTATGTGCTTACGGACATGGTGATTGATGGGTTCTTACTTCCTCTGGAAGGAAATCGTCAAGGCTTCATTTGAGACCACTGGGGAGAAGAATCAGTGTGCTGCCTTTGGGGAGAAGGTATTGGGATAGAGGTTCGTCAACTCAGAAGCCATGTGCCAGTGGAGGTGCGGATCCATCTTGCCAACAAAGGCACTGCTACATGGGTGCGCTTGCATATGAATCTGTCCATAGGTCACGCCCCAAAGGATTATCCCAAAGATAGTGTAGTGCCCAGGAGACAGAACAAGTCACCCTAGAAGAATATAGAAATCTAAGGACTGGGCACTTGAAAGAAATGATGATGGCAGAGCCCTCTCTCTCTGAAAATAGGCAAGCACATCCAGCAAGAGTTAGGGATCTGTGGCTTTCAGTCCTTTTTTAAAAAATGTTTATTGTAATGGTAATGTACAGAAAGGATACAGTTATGTAAGTCAGGTAATGAGTCCATTTCTTTTTTAATAGCATCTCTCCCTCTCTTATTTTCTCTCCCAAGTGTCTCCAATATAGTGTCTAGTGAGTATCACTGCTAAATGAGTTCTCCCTTTGTCACACCATTTCTGTGCTTCCTTTCCCCCTCCCCTAATCAGTAAACTTATATACAAGACGAAGGGCATAGAAATAAAAACAGCAACAAAAGGGAAAAAAGAAGAAAGAAGAAAAAAAACCCTCCACAAACAGTACAATAAAAAACCCTCTTGTTCCCATTTCTTGGAGTTCATTTCAATAAGCATCTCTTTATATGATCAATGCACACAGCTCTTGAGCCTTTGTGATCCTCTCCTAAGAATATCCTCCTTTGGTGTCACTGGGTGAATGTTTAGAGTCCTGTTTATCATGTCCAAGTGTAACTTTTTGTCTTTTACCATCCATTGGGTTTACATGTAAGCTGTAAGTTTAATCTTGTGATATATCTTGTTTGTCAGTTTAACTTCTTGATGCATGTTAGTAATAACTGTGGTGGAGGATAAGGGTGAATAAAGAAGGTAGGAATGCTTGATAAGAAATATACTCATGATCTTGCGCATGTAATTGTAACCTCTCTGTATGGTATTTTCACAATTAAAAAAAAGAAGGTAGGAAGCCCAAACCCTGAAAATATAAGTGGAGGATTCTTTTCTTTATTTCACACTGGAAGTAGAATGTGGCAGCATATTGTCAGGAAGTCAGTTCTAAAAAGAAGGTTTTATCTTCTTGAACTAGATTGTCAGGGCAGCTCTGCCTAGAGGCTGTCCTGTCAAACTGCTAGGTGACCCTGCCAGGCCCTAGCAGCACTGTGGGAGAGAGCAGAGAGACCGCCCTGGACAACTCACCCAGCAGGCTTCCCAGCCACCGTCAGAAGCAAAGCCAGCACCCAGGGCCTCCACAGCATCTCTGTGGAGACTCAAACTCCAGCTCCCAATGTGCTCCAGGAACTGGGATGGAATTCTACAGGGCTATGACACCTTATAGGCAAGGAATCTTTGTTGTGTAGGAGAGAGAGAGAGAGAGAGAGAGACAGAGAGACAGAGAGACAGAGAGACAGAGAGACAGAGACAGAGACAGAGAGACACAGAGAGACAGAGACAGAAACAGAGAGAGACAGACAGAGACACAGAGAGACAGAGACAGAGAGACACAGAGAGACAGAGACAGAAACAGAGACAGAGAGAGACAGACAGAGATACAGAGAGACAGAGACACAGAGACAGACAGAGAGACAAAGAGAGGCAGAGACAGACACAGAGACAGGAGAGACAGAGAAAGTGAGATAGAGAGACAGAGAGACAGAGAGGGAAGGAGAGAGAGAGGGGGAGGGAGGGTGGGAGAGAATATATAATATATTTTCAGGAGGTATTTAGACATGCTATCCACAGACAGAAGGGAAAGGGATTCTAGCATGCATGGTTTGAAAGTTATGGCTTGCTTTTGTGTAAATTGTCAAAGAATAATACTTTATGAGATGTATACATTCAGTTTATCTTCCTCCAACAAAACTCTACTTAGTTCCCAACACCTCCCAATAATACTATGAAATTATGACTCTATCAATGGATGAATCAATCCATGGACTAAGTCTGAGCTATCATGATCTTGTCACTTCTCAATCATCACATGTATCAGCTGGGAACCAAGCCTTCAATATATGAGTTTTCATTGTTTTTGGTCAGTCATAAGGCTTGAACTCAGGACCTGGGCATTGTTCCTGAACCCTTTCGCTCAAGGCTAGCACTCTACCAGTGAGCCACAGCACCACTTCCAGTTTTCTGATGGTTAATTGGAGGTAAGAATCTCATGAGGACTTTCCTGACTGGGCTGGCTTTGAACTAAGCTCCTCAGACCTCAGCCTCCTGAGTAGCTAGGATTGTAGGTGTGTGAGCCACAGTTCCTGGCCTAATATGTACGTTTTGATGAGCTAGTGATTTTGAATCTGGTTTCTATCTAAACCAGAATCAAAAACTCAGATTCTTTTCCTCTTTTTTTCCCCCTTAAACATGGAGGTAATTATCCTCATTTTTTTCACACCAGTGAAAGAAGTGTGAGAAGGAACTAAGTAGGAGAGACTGTGTGAAAATGGAAGTATAAAGTACTGCAAAGTAAGATATTAAGTACATCAGGAGGCAGCTCGTGACAGATGTACAGGACAGCCCCAGCCGGTATCCTCATAAACACTGAAGCCGGCATTTCCTAGCCTTTCTAAGGCAGACAGTCAGGATGAGAGCGCAGGTTCACTGAAGTGGGTCAACCAGCTGCAGTGGCTCCCAGCCATCATCCACAGTCATGCTAGCTGAGGTGGAAGCGGATGATTACATGCTTGAAGGACCTTTACTGATAAGATGAAGCAGAATTAAATACACCCATGGATGCCGGGAGGGGCACAGAGTCTGGGCTGCTCCAATTCTCCCAACAGGATCTTGATTTGCCGATTTGCACAGGCACCCTGTGCTGCAAGAGTCCGGGGAGGAGAGTGTCTCTGGGGAGATGGGGCTGGGGAGGGGGCTTCCTAAGAGATTGTTGCTAGCTCTGTAGTTTTGTATGGGACTCGAAACACAGGGAAGCTGGCCTGCAGGCAAATCTTCTCCAGGGGCAGATTTCTGGAAGAAGGGGGCTCCTTCTGGGCAGTAAAACTTGGACTTGGCTGGTGAACCCTTCCTGATTTCTCTACCTACACAAAGAGAAAGAGAATTCAGTACACATCCTCCAGTTCTCACTGGAAATGTTTAGGACTCCATCTTGGTCATCACTAAAATGATGTGATTAGGGGGACTGTGGCAGCCATAGGGAAAGGCTGGGGCTGGAGAGGAAGGAAGTGAATGCTGAGATCTCTGACCAGAGAGCTTTAGCCAGATTTCAGGGGCCTGGATTCAGATGACATCACACATAGGTCAGAGCTCCAGTGGAACGTGAGGAAAGTCTTGGCGTTTCCTTCTAAGGTCAACATGATCACCATTGTGCTTGCCAATCACCTACAGGAAATAGCTCTACCTCCTATTCAGTCTGCCCACCAGTCCAAGTCAGCTGAAAGGACTCAACAAGGTACAATCAGAGGACATCAGATTGGCAAAAACGTTTAAACATTTTCAAGGGAGAAACACTCTATAAGATGACAGAATAGTAGCAGAGAAAATCTTTTTAAAAGATCTTAAAGATATACATAATTGGGAAGGTAAATTATAAGACCTGGCTGTTCTCTTGTTAAATGAGTATCCGAGTTACTCTGATCAGTGTTAGTTCCCTTTGTTCATGACCTGAAGTTCCAATAAAGAGCCTCACTTTGGTTCTGTTCTGTCATAAGGCTAGTAATCTGCCCCAATTTAAGAATGATATAAATCTCATAAGAATTCTGCCCCTATGGCTTAATCTGGTGTTTTATGATGAAGCTATTGAAAACATATATATATATATATGTATATGTGTGTATAATGTATGTAGAGAAATACACACACACACATATATATGTAGAGAGAGAAATACACACACACACACATATAGGTCTGAAACCCTGTCAAACATATATATGTATATATATATATATATATGTATATACATGTATATATATGCTTGACTCTCCTCCTCCTTCTGCCTCCCAAGTGCTGGACTCACAAGCTCAGGCCAACATGCCAACAAAATATAAACAGAAATCAGGTTAAGGAAACGGAGCTTTCCTTTTGCCCTACTTTGTGTGTGGGGAGGGGTGGCTACTTGTCTCAGAAGTGTGATATTTATAAGAGGGCACATATAAAAATCTGTCTTCTGTGGTACTTGTGTAAAAGAAGAGATGTTTCATGAAGTCAGTGAAAAATCAGAAAAAGTCTCTTATCTCAGTTCTACTTCAGGAGATAGTTATGGATTATTTTATTTCATTTACCAAATATTTGCTTGACACTGACACTGTTCTTAGAATTGCAGTAGGTGCTGATGTTTTCTTGAGTGTTGGCAATGAGGTTTGTTGGAAAACACTGCACTTGGATGATAAAATACTGCTTTGCTGCACGCGCCCTCTGGTGGCCAGGAGGAGGAAACACTGCAGTCACTTTTCTTAGGACATCTATGCACCCACTAACTAGGTCCTTGTCAAAGAAGAGAACACAGATTCAGACGGCTCCCATCCCTTCTCACTAAATGTAACATCCACTCTTCACACACTAGTATCCTCTACTTTCTCCTTCATACAATCACATAGTGACATCTCTCTCCAGTGTTTAATGGGCAACAAAACAACACATGATCATTAACATTACTACTCAAATATGGAATGAACCCCATATCCTGATGGTTGAAGTTTTCTATCCTTTAGCCTCATCCCGACGTTCTCTGCCCCTTCCAAACACACCTTACAACTCCCTTTAACTGGACCTATTCTTTATTACCTTCTGTTTAATTTGTCTCCTCGGATAGGAAGGCTCAATAATATTATCTTGATTGCCACTGATTTCTATTAGCCATTACTTCCACAGAGTTTTGTTAGCAGCTGCATGTATACAGAAGAATTCATTGCAGAAGGGACTGGAGACTGATGAAATTTACCAGGTACAAAGACTAAGACAACTGTTTGAGAGGTTCTATTTATGTGTTTATGTATTTATCTTTAATGAAGACTGGGAGACGGAGAATGCAGTCATAATAATGTATATCTGTGAAAATGGATCTTGGAAAACTGAGGAGATGAGTGGGGTTGGGAGAGATGGGGAAGGAATTGATGGAAAGGGATGACAATGATCAAGATGCATTGAATGAAAGCCCCTCTCTTCAGTTACTTAAAGATAATAAAATATTTAAAAAAAAAACTAAAGAGCTCAAGTGCCATCTAGTGGTACAAGTAGGTAGTTGCCGGGGTAACTAGTCCATTATTTATGTTATGTGAGCCAATTAAATAAAAACCTATGCCCCTCACAGTGCTTCTATCAGCTGTTCTGTGGCTATACCATGGCTAAGTGAGGGTAACCTTATTAGGTAATGTCTAGGAGCTTGAAAAATCATTATAACTAGCCATGTCACTGTGAGGCTTCCTGATGCCTTCTTCAGAAAAGGCCAGTGAAGGAACTGCAGCCTGAATCTGAAACACACAAAGGAAATTTAAACAAATGGATTCACCTAGGGGGAATTCTCATTGCTCTTTTTTCCTGCCTCCAGCAAGTGATAAATGAACAAAATCATCAGATGGCCAGCAAGAAGGAAGGGGCTTGTACCCAATGCTCAGGCGCTCTCTGCATAGCTGGGCAGGCACTGCACCAGCACGCAGGACCGTAGAGGGACAGACAGACTGCATGGCCTACTCTCCAGCCAGCCCTGCGATTCTCCCAATGTGGAACCAGCAAGAGTAAGGTTGGAGCTCCCTGCCCTTCCCTAACTCCCTATGCCAAGAGCCTAAATAATAAGGGATACAAGTAAATGATTTGACCAGGAAGGTAGTTTGACTTAAGAGCTTTATGGGTGAGATTAAATTCAGTGGCATAATCAGCAGCATTGGAACTGAACTTTAGCCTTATAGAATTGGAGTCAATGGGAATGAATGAAGCAAGCCCTTTCCCCTACAACTTTCCTGCAACATGAAAACATTCTGTTTTCAGAATCTAGAAAACAGCACCCATGGCATTGCATTACTTTGAGGAATGAACTTTCCAGACATCTTAATTGTTAGAACCAGAGTGTCTTCTCCTTGATACTATTGGACAACCTGGCATTTACAGATGGCTCTGTGCCATACCTCTAGTTCACCAGGTCTTACGAAGCCCACTTAGCACTTCTTTCCAATGGACAACGTAAAAATCCACTCATCAACAAGTCTGTCCTGCACTAGTACATTGGCAGGGAATCGTGGTGACCAGGCTTTGCAACCAAATGGGCAAAACAGAGCCATATGTGTGAGTCCTCCTGAACCAAAGGGTCCAGACACAGGCCACGGGGCAGGCACATGGAGAGGGTGTTATTTCTAGACAGAGAATGACGCACAGGCCAGTTAATGGGAACAACCAGGCTGGCGGTGGGAGGGAGTCTGGAGGAGGATGGCTGATATGGTTAGTCATTACTTATTCTAAGGTGGAGCCACATGCCCCGCCCCCCCACCCCCAACCTCATCTAATGACTAGTTCATCCTGCAGACTGTACACTGCTGCGGAGGAATGTTCTCAAAGCAGGAGTGACCATGGTTGGCCACAGTAGCTTCTCTTGCAGAAGTAAGGCCAGTCTCTGGTTCTTATAGATTCTCTTGTTTGTGAAATATTTTTTTTTAAATTGTATTGTGGCTTCTGTAATTGCTTATTCTTTTCTTTATTCTTCTCAAGTCCTGCTTGATGTTGAGTTCTGTGATGTTTTCCCCCTGTAACTTACTTTTTCCAACACTGTAATGTAATTCCTAGGTTCTGTCCCCGGCCCTCCTCTGGCCTCTGAGAAGAGTCCTCTGCTCAGATTTAGTCATACCTTCATTCCTACTCCATTTTTGTTTTTGTTTGTTGGTTTGCAACAAAATCTTGTTATATAGCTTATGCTAGCTCCAAATTCTTCCTGATCCTCCAGCCTTAGCTTCCCAAATGCTAAGATTAAAGGTGTGTGCCACCATGCCTAGCTTCACTTTTGCTTCTTACATGAAGACTCTTTTTGTCTTCATAATTTTTTACCTCATGATCTATTTACCTATTACCTATTAGCTATTATTTACATCTTACTTATTTGGTAGTATCGATATTTCTCTTCTTATCCTGATGATGTAAAGGTCATTTTTATTTTTAGGAAAGCAAAGCTCTACCTAAGAGACAATTTCAACTTTTTTTTGGGGGGTCTCCTCAACTTTTTTTATTGGCATCAGTTAACTGTATAAGGGGTTTCATTTAGATGTATGTACATATGTGTACGATGATTATATTGATAGGCGAGCCTTAATCAGACCAAACCCCTCTCACTCTCCCTCATCTCCACTCCCCCTACTTTGGTGAACTTCTGGTCAATTTTACAATGACCTGCCAGCTATCTCTGATGGAATTCAGCATACAACAAATGGAATTCCTCTGGGCCATCAAAATCTACTTCTGATTCTATTACTTTTATGTGTCCCTAGTTTCTCATGTTCAGAACTTTTGATGCTATTAGAGTCAGTCATCAAATTGGTTATAAAGTTCTCTCCATTTCCACCTTTTCATTCTTTATCCATTGTCTTCTCATTCTTTAGTCCTTCATTTCTTCTCACTTAAACTAATAATCTTATAAATTCACATTGAATTAGTTACCTCCTAATCCTTTTCTTACATGTGGTTCCTTTATTATTAAAGTACAGCTCAGGGCTGGGAAGGTGGCTCAGTGGTAGAGTGCTTGCCTTGCATGCATGAGGCCCTGGGTTCGATTCCTCAGCACCACATAAGCAAAAAGAAAAAAGCTG